TTATTTAGGAAAACAAATTAAGTGCGTCATCTGTCACATGGTCACATGATAGATTCATCCTTGCAACCGAACCAAACAAATGCCAAAGCACAACAACAACACTCTGCCAGGCAGCCAGCCGGCATTCCTTGAATAGGAAAACAACTTGTTTTGCCCACGATTGCCTTCTCCGGCAGCAGAAAGTGAGCAAAAGAGCGCGTACGTGATCATATTCTGAATGGGAAACCGAAAATGAAACTGAAGCTAAATTGAACTGCAGCACAGGCACGTTTGCAGCGTGCTGGAATGCTTGCTTCGGAGTGTGTGTTATATGAGGGGGGTGAAGGGTGTTGGCAGAGGCGGAATTTGAACAAGACGTCCGGCTGCCGAACATATGTAAACAATTTTCCAGCGATACCCCGGTCTCAACAAGCGAGGGTGCGTCAATCAACCGCTGCAAACGGAGCAGCTGCTGCAGTGGTGAAATTTGCGAAAAATACCCAAATTTAATTTATCTGTATCAATTGTTGACGCCGTCATGTTTCCAAAGGATAATCCAACGAATTCATCTTCATTGTCGAATCTGCTCTGCAGAAGGAGTGAACTGCTGCCGATTGCATGCGCTTATCTCACTGTCTGTTTGTCTCTCCCTTTGTTTCTCTGTTAGCCGTTTGTTGGTTGCTACAAGTTTATTTGGTCGGCTCCACTGGAGTGAGGAGTGCATTTTTAAACGAATCCGCTGCTTATGAGGTGTGGTGTTGGCAGCAACGTGACAGGACTTGCAATTGTTTTGACGAAAATGAAAACGAAAAAAGTGAAAATTTGATGCATAAAAAGTCGGAGATGTGTTGTTATTCACTGAGGTGTGGGTAGAGTCTAAATGTTTTTCAAATAAAAAAAATTTTCGAATTTTTTCGTTTCTATTATATTCTATATATAACTTAAATAAGATAATTAAGATTAAGGTATAGATATTTAAAGACTTTTCCTTTTTTTAGAACAACATATATTTTTTAAATACTTAACCTTTTCTACAATGTAACGAAAGATAATAACTAATTGCAATGCTATTATGAAAAGCAAATGCATGTTACATATGGGATATAACCTCAATCAAAGCATTAATATATTTGGCATACAAATAATCGGAAATCACTCGATTAGAGATATTGGGTTTAGACTAATGTCCTGACCGATTTAATTACATTAAAATATCATACATATTGATTTATACAAAGAGTTTAAAGTCAGATGGGGAGTCGAAAACCGCTGCATAGGGTATATTGGCGCTAAAAGAAGATCTGGACTGAATCATTAGCTTTTGGAATTGCACAAGTATACTTGAGAACATGTTTTCTTGGAACTTTATGAATACTAAGCGTACACTGACCGACATTTTCGACATAATGTCTGCTAGAATAATGAAAATCATTGTATGTGGTACGAGTATATGGTAGCTAGGTAATTTCACATATTTTCGGTAATAAACTATTTTATATCCAATATTATATGTTCACTTATGGTAATTTTCCCAAGTTATCTTACATACTGAGCGATATACATATATGATATAAGACCAACCGAAAGTATAAAATTCTTATAATAGAAAGCTAGAAGTAGTATTGAATCAATTTTATTAATTGTTGTTTTCACTACATAATATTACCAAAAAAAAAAACTTTGTGAGCTTCATTGCAGTAAATGTGTTCATTAAGTTACGTTACATATTGATCGATATACAGTAACGGTAAAAGTCAATCGAATGTTTGAAATTTTTGAACATTAAAAAAAAACAGACGACTGAATCAATCGTTTTAAATTTTAAGGGTATGTTTTTAGCAACACATTTTAACAAAACAGTAAAACGTTTGAAGAAAAAGTTTCTTCTACTTTTAAATTGTTTTAAAGACGCGAAAATACCACTAGAAACTCCCATTCTCTTCTTAACTCGCGAAATTGACAACTGAACGTCAATGGCAGCCCCGAAATTCATTAGTGTTCCATCCAAAATAGCAAAAGCACAAACTGCGCCCATCACATTAATCATTTACGCCCAGCCTGTCCACAGCACGCAACATTCATAATTTTTTCTATCTTCTTCCGTCGCCCTGCTGTTAAGCCAACACCATAACCTCCCTTCCTCAGAGCTGAAGCATTACGTGTCTTGGCAGCGTAACAGTTTGAAATATTGTCTGCGTGCTTCTTTAAAGCTGCCATGAGCTATGGCTGTATATGTTTATGTGCGTATATCCATGTCCTTGTGTTTGTTGTGCACATCGTTAATAAAATTGGGGTTAAAATTGACAACAACTGAAACTCATCAGTTAAAATTTGCTCTACTTTCCATTTAACTTGGTCAGGCGCCTAAAAGTATGCTTCCGTAGCGGGACAGAGTACTTTGCTAAAGTTCATTACTCGTTGTATTGACTATGTGTTGAGTGCTTGATTTCATATTTGTTTAATGAGCAGAAGGAAAGAAAAATTCGGAAAATCTTAACTTGATTTAATTAGATTTGTTCAACTCAGGGTGTGAATATCAAATTAAAGCTTTAAAAATCTCTGCGTGCTTAAAGCTGTTGTTAATACAATACTTGTGTAGAAATTTGACACCATATATCATTGCATTTGAGAGAGCGCTATTTAATATAATATCGCAGAAAGGGTTAATGATTACCGAAATAAAGTTTATTTACTAGCGCATTTAAGAATAGTATATATATATGTGTGTGGGAGTTTGTGTGTTACTTGTTATCATATTACTTATGCTTACGAATGATGAACTCTTTCGAAAGGGTTGAATATAAGATTTTTAGATATACAAGTCCTTAAACCATTTTGTGGATAAATGCTTCGACAAACAACTTCTTACTATTTTATGATAGTAAAATTGATTTAGTGAATGTGCATCTAAAACAAATAGGCAATTATTTTTCTATTCATAATTTTTTTGGCAAACAGTATGACAGGAAAACCAGGGGACCGGAAATGCGAAATTCTTATCAAATTTCATATATAGGCTGGCCGTTATTTCCCTTCCGCTTTTTTGCTCTTCATTCAATGCTTTATAAAAAGTGTTACAGTGATCGGATTTAGTTAATGCGCCGTTTTGTTCGTAAACTTGTTGCCAACGAGATGCCAACTTCATTATACCCCTCTCGTAGAAGGCTGCGTCACTATTGGCAAAAAACTGGGAGAGCCAATTTTCACAGGCCTCTCTTGAGGCCAACTTCTCACCATTAAGCGCGTTCGCCATGGACAGGAAAAGATGGTAATCACTTGGTGCCAGGTCCGGGCTATATGGTGGATGCGATAAAACCTCCCATCCGAGCTCCCGTAGCTTCTGACGAGTCATCAACGAAGTGTGTGGTCTGGCGTTGTCCTGGTGGAACACTACACCCTTCCTGTTGGCCAATTCTGCGCTTCTGGTCGATCGCCTGCTTCAAGCGGTCCTGTTGTTCGCAATAGATGGTAGAATTAAGCGTCTGGCCATATGGGAGCAGCTCATAGTGGATGATTCCCTTCCAATCCCACCAAACACACAGCAAAACCTTCCTGGCCGTCAATCCCGGCTTGGCCACTGTTTGGGACGATTTACCGGCCTTCGACCACGACCGCTTGATATTGTCGTATGTGATCCATTTTTCGTCCCCAGTCACCATCCGCTTCAAGAATGGGACGAGTTCGTTCCGTTTCAGCAGCATATCGCAGGCGTTGATTCGGTCCAGAAGGTTTTTTTGCGTCAAATTATGCGCACCCAAACATCAAACTTTTTGTATCCAGCCTTCTGCAGATGGTTCAAAATGGTTTGGTGACTAACTCCCATCTCCTGGGCGATGTCACGAGATGCCATATGCCGGTCTAACTCGATGTATTCCATGATTTGATCGGTATTTATCGTCACAGGTCTTCCGCCGGCTGGCTTATCCATGGTGTCGTTTTCACCGGCTCTGAATCGTCGAAACCATTCCTCCGCGGTTCGAAGTGATAGAGTACCATCCCCCAAAACACCATTAATCTCACGGAACGTTTCTCTAGCGGATTTGCCTTTAACGAAGGAAAACTTTAAAATAGCGCGAATTTCGGCGTTAGTGAACTCCATGTTTACACGTCTATAACTGTTGAACGCAATATCCAAACTAATCATGCATAGCGTTGTTTTGTAGGTTATGTCAAGACCTTTCAAATTATGTAAAAAATTTTTTTTGCATATTTCTTCCACTGCCTCCATGTGAGTCTCAGAGTTCGTCAGAAATCTTCTATGCGGAAAATTTTCTATAACCTGAATTAATAATTTATTATAAATCTCACTCCAGCTTTCATTCTAAATTTCAGGTTGAATTTCATCGAACGAAAAACAGTACTGTGGATGTGAGCGGTCTGATAAGTAAATAGTAGAACAAAGAGCATTCTCAGCTGATGAAATAGAGATACAGCATAAACCGGGGAACAGTCGAAATCGGCCAAAGAGGTAATGGCGTCCACCTTCCAACCTCCTATGTTGGATCAACATCGACTACCAGGGAAAAGCAAGACAGTCATAGATCTAAAATTTATGACATTTTCGTTGGATTCTCGCTAAATTGTCACGGAAGGAATTGTCAATTAGCTAGAATCAACCAAAATTATTTGGGAATGGAGAATTTTGTTTTTAATGATTATAATATATAATTATGATTATAATATATAATATGATTACAACATATTATTCATTGGTCAAAGGAAACCTGGTTGACAGATATCGTCCAATAAGAACTAGATTTGCAATGCAATTTTTAAAATGCATCGACTTTGACCGAACCGAACTTTGGAGTGACATCCAAAGTTGACAAAACGAAGTAATACGGAGATAAATGAGATCTTTGGAAAAATATTTTTTCTTACGGATATAGACCTCTAATTGTAAGAAAGACGACTTCAAGATCGAAATAGATATGTTTTTTTTTAGTTGCGCTCTCTGAACGTAAAATATTCGTGAGTGCCTAAAAGTTTCAGTTAAGAAACTTTGATCTGCCAAAATTTTATTTTTCAATACACAATTCAAAACAATAAATACATATGTATAATTTTTCTGATAAATAATAATTTAACAATTTAATTTTTTTTAATAAATAACAAACAATTATCGAAAATGATCAATTTAGATATCTACAAACGCACGTGCACAAAAGTCGCACATTTATGGAAAGAAGTGGATGTTACACAATCCGATGTAGAGGCCGAACCCGATGTAGAGCCAGTCGCCGAAGAAGAGCAGCAGGAGGAGGAAGAATTGGTGGATGAATTGGACTGCTGTAGAGTGATGGGCGAACTGGAGTGCATGAAAAGGCGCATACAGAAATTACAATTGCGACTCAAAGCCGACGATACCTGTCTGGATGAGCCATGCATAGATCCACAACTCGAATTGGCCTGTTCAAGTAATCCGGAAATGTGTGAACTGCAAAAAAAGCATCATAAATTACAATGTCAAATCAACGAACTCATACGCTGTTGTAATGTGGCCAAAGATCAGATCGAAGAATTGCGCGCGCGTTTGTGTCAGAAGTCACGTGAAATACTCGAGCTACAGAAGGCTGTCTGCCTGCTGGAGACCTGGCGCAATACGTTGCAACATGAATTTGGTGTGTGCTATGAACGTTTTCAGTATTTGAAGCATGTGAAAGCCGAATGGGAGGATGTGGAGAAGAAACTCGACGAGCAGAAGCATACATTTAAAGTGTTGGAAAAGACGCTTGTGCCGAAAGTCTGTTTTGTGAGTGAAAAACGGCAATTCGTTGAAGAAATCGCACAGATACGCGAACTGATGCAGGAGATGTTTCAGGCGCACAACGCTAGATTCGATGTGTTGGAACGACGCTTGGACGGTATTGAGCTCACTATGACAGCGCCACCAGCGTTATCGATCAACTTGGGGCAGGGTGTCAAGGGCAAAGAAAATCGTGCAAGCGACATGATTAAAGCAGAACAGTGAATTGTGGATATAGCGATTTTTTCCGAAACAAAATTATCTGTATATATATATATATATATTTATTTTATACAATTGTATACTTTGAAATTCTCTTTTTTTTATTTAGTATTCCCAACAAAGTCACATTCACAGCAATTAATTGGGTTTCGCTGGGATTAGGAGAACTTAAGAAAGTGCTCTTCAAATAAAAATTAGTTAAGTGCCTGCCTCCGCAATCACTTTGTTCATTAAATGTTGTGTTGATTGGAGCATTTCAATTTGGCTTAAACTAATTTAGCAACTCTTAATGCTACTTTGTGTTGCGTATTTATTTGATATTTAGTTATCTGACGCTTCTACAGTAATTTCCATTCAGCCAAAACAACTTTTACCATAAAATTTAAATTTTTCTTGCTCCCTCGGCATTTAATTGCCCGCATTTCACTTTCGCGTTTTAATCTCTTTTCCTTATGCCATATTTTGTGCCATCCTTCCCATTCCACTCCCTCTTTGATATGCTCTTGTGCTGTTTGGTCATTTCCTCTACTGACTCTGTCTCTTTTTATCCCTCTTTGGCTTCGTATATCGTACAGCTACTTTCACTTTTTATTACATTTGCCACACTATCCTAGTTAAGTATATGGAGTTCGCATTTAATTGCCTTAAAATGTGTCTCTCAATTAAGTTTATTAGAGCTTGAAATTGTTTATCGTACTTCGGTGGGTCATTTGATCAATGCCGCAATAATAATTAGAATTTGGGAAATTTTAAAACTTTTATTGGCGTACTTGTGCTATTAAAACTTTTTAAATAGTGGTTCTACTTTGCGTTTTGAATTTGGGGAAGCATCAAATTATTACTCGGTTGGTTGCTTCTACGAAATCTTAGTACATATATTTAAATTGCTGGCGTTAAATCCATAAATTTCAATAGGGTTGGTCCTGCTAAAAAGCTTGGATCTGCAGTGAAGCTCTTTGAATATGAAAGTAAAACCCTTAATTTTGGTTCTTTCTTTGTAGGCCTTATCATTTTTGCAATATCTATTTCCATTTTTTGAAGCGTTAACTTCAGTTAAAAGACGATTTCTTAATTCTAATTGCCAGGTCTTGGCTGCATGGCCACGGAATATATATACACAATGTCTGCCTATTTAAAAAAAAATACTCTTATTGTTAGATTATAGAGATATACAATATAATATGTGCATCACTCAAGACTTTCGTATAGCTAACCCTATAATATGCTCTTACGGTTAGTTATGGACTGGGAGAGTATTTCTTGACAGCATTAGTAGTTATTTGACTCTATTTTAGTAATGAAATGATAAAATTTTTCCAAACCGACGTATCTTTTAAGTCTTTTATTTAAAAATTGAGAGAACAAGAAAAAAATATATATGTTACTAGACTGATGTCAGGACTTTACCAGAACCGCATCAATTTTGGGTGCTTAACATCTATTAAAAGATGTGATTCAGTCCACTGAATCTAGTATACTCTACACAATTAAACAAATTTCCATAAAAGAGCTTGATTTTGATCGGCTAGAAGTTTTGGGAAATAGTAATTCGATCTGAACAATATTTCCGGAGATTCTGGCGTTACCTTATATATTGTCAAAATTTCCAGTATCAATCATATCAGTGGAAGCTTCCTGGCTCGTCGCGGCCGAAAAAACCAAGTTCACAAAAACACGCCTAACCTTAGCGGCTGCTAAGCTGCAAACATCTTTCAAACGATATTTTTTTCGAGGAATCATACAAATTTTGTCTTCTGCCGCGATCGACATGATAGTCAAATTGAGGACGAAAAGTTTGAAACCCGAATAATTTTGAGAAGCTATACTTCGATTAGATGGCATGTTTGAGTCTGAAGACCGTAATATATGCATAGCACAGTCATAGTTCCTTTATTCTAGAAATTTCACTTTAAATTAATCTGAATGTACAGCATATAATTTGAGTTTCCCATCTGGTCACTCAAATATTTAAAACTTAATCAACGAATAAAATTTATATGCTTAAACTCAATTCATACATGACACTCTTAAAGGAAAAAGTAAAGAAAAACGTTCAGAAACTACGAGAGGACGTAAGTGGAAGACAACGTTAATGGATACACAAACAAACAAACAAATAAGGGCAAATTATAAATTCATTAGCGACAAGTGGACGAGTATCAGCCTCCACATGGGATTCAGAGTCAAGCACATTTGAATTAAGCAATACTGTGAACAACATGTAGGACAAGCTAGTGGAAGACAACTTGCAACTTAGCGCAATGTGAAGAGCTGAAAGGTAAAAGGTAAGAGCAGAGAGTTAATTCCTTTGTGTAGCTTTTCCTTTTTTTTTACGAAAACATCTTAAACCAGTTGATGTGTTCGAAAGGTGGGCTGAGGTTTTCGCTCAGTGCTTAAGTGTTATATAATTACGGCCCAGTTGCTGTGCGAACACAATTTGCGCCATCGAGGCGAACATTAAGCAAATTAACGCATTTTTTGCAAACGTCGGCTCCATAGACCTCCCTACAAAAATGTAGAATAATCATATCCATGTTTGGTTGATTAACAAAGTAATCAGGTGAATTATGCAATAAATGGATTAAGAAATAAGGAGACATACAGTTTTTTGTTCTAAGAACATTTCTTGCATAAAATATAAGGTTGGAAGGTATCTCCCCTCCGCTTTTTTGTCTTTTAAATTTCGCGGCTATGTACAAAGCGCTACAGAGCTCGTATCTGGCAACACTATACATAATTTGAAAGGTCTTGACATAACCTACAAAACAACGCTATGCATGATTAGTTTGGATATTGCGTTCAACAGTTATAGACGTGTAAACATGGAGTTCACTAACGCCGAAATTCGCGCTATTTTAAAGTTTTCCTTCGTTAAAGGCAAATCCGCTAGAGAAACGTTCCGTGAGATTAATGGTGTTTTGGGGGATGGTACTATATCACTTCGAACCGCGGAAGAATGGTTTCGACGATTCAGAGCCGGTGAAAACGACACCATGGATAAGGCAGCCGGCGGAAGACCTGTGACGACAAATACCGATCAAATCATGGAATACATCGAGTTAGACCGGCATATGGCATCTCGTGACATCGCCCAGGAGATGGGAGTTAGTCACCAAACCATTTTGAACCATCTGTAGAAGGCTGGATACAAAAAAAAAGTTTGATGTTTGGGTGCCGCGCATTTGACGCAAAAAAACCTTCTGGACCGAATCAACGCCTGCGATATGCTGCTGAAACGGAACGAACTCGTCTCATTCTTGAAGCGGATGGTGACTGGGGACGAAAAATGGATCACATACGACAATATCAAGCGAAAACGGTCGTGGTCGAAGGTCGGAGAATCGTCCCAAACAGTGGCCAAGCCGGGATTGACGGCCAGGAAGGTTTTGCTGTGTGTTTGGTGGGATTGGAAGGGAATCATCCACTATGAGCTGCTCCCATATGGCCAGACGCTTAACGGAGCTCGGATGGGAGCTTACTTACGGGAGCTCGGGAGGTTTTATCGCATCCACCATATAGCCTGGACGTAGCGCCAAGTGATTACCACCTGTTCCTGTCCATGGCGAATGCCCTTGGTGGTGTGAAGTTGAACTCAAAAGAGGCTTGTGAAAAGTGGCTGTCCGAATTCTTCGCAAATAAGGAGGGGGGCTTTTACGAGGAAGTTATTATTGTTGTAGTTGCCGTCTAGATGGAAACAGATCATCGAACAAAACGGCGCATATTTTAACTAAATCCGATCACTGTAACACTTTTTATAAAGCATTGAATGAAGAGCAAAAAAGCGGAAGGGAGATACCTTCCAACCAGCAATTTGTGTGGTGAGCTTAATGCTACGTGCGGTTTTTTTTTTACAAAATTTTAAATCTACAACTCTAACATGTTTCCATCATTCTGTCAATTTGTGGATTCCATCCCAAAAGAACTGCCCCGGGTTGGCGGCTACGAATGAATTATTGCTAATTATTGATACCCTGTTCATATATGAGCTGTGTTCCGGTGAGGACCTTCTGCATCGACTGAAAAATATAGTAGTCAAAAGAGACAAGATTTGGGCTATGAAGTGGGTGAGACAAAACTTTCCAGCCGCTGTTTTCCAAATAGTTTCTAATCCATCTTGACACATTATACCGATCGTTGTCTTGATGGAGAATTATTGCTTCGTATGTAATCGCGAATTTCGGGCGTTTTTCGGCAATCGCTACCTTCAATTTGAAGAGTAGTTATCGGTAACGTTCTGCATTAATGATTTCACCCGGTTTTAGAAGCTTATAATACAGCACGTCGTTCTGATTCCAACATATACTACCTTGACGTGATGGACATTCTTTTGCTCATTTGAAAGCCCAACTTTTTTAAAGACATTGCGTTTCGACCTAACGACATATTTAAATATTAGCGATTCTTCTGAGGCGGAGAACACTGTAAAGCTTTAGACATCACAACAACATGTTTTTTACTGGGCCTAAGCCGTATAGGTTGATTTGATATAAGTAGATTGGAAAATATAAAAATCAGCAACAATGAAAGACGTAATCACAAGATTCGACATAGCATAGTACAAAGTTTACAGTCTAGCTGCTAAGATACATAAATTCTTTCCCCATGAGAAGGCTGACCCTCCATATATTATTTATTCTGTAGGCTCTGCAAAAATATATCCATAATATATATCATATACATATCCAACCATTTCTTCTTCTTATTGAGAATTTAAGGCTTTCTGACGGACCCTGAAGCTATGTGATAAATATTATAAAAGCATGTCTTCACTGACGCAAATTGAAATTTGAAAAATTATCGAAAGAATTGATTGGTTCATTATGGGGTTACATGTGGTTTTACGGCTTCAAAAAATCGATTTATTTATTGTCTTATATAATTCTATAACATCTTTACAATATTGTACTAAATGCTGAAGTTTGACGATACAATTTTGAAAAGTTGTGCGCTCGATTTCAGCTATATGGTCACTTAAAACTTTAAATGCGTTTTTATTGAAACTTTGTTTTCAAAGTCGGTTGTCAGGAATTCTCGCGAACTACTTAACTGATCTTACAGAAATTTACGCAGGTCAACTAATTAAAAAAATACATTGACAACCGTTTTTTCCTTTGGGAAACCTACGTAACCCCTTATCAAATAGTGGTTTTTGGTATATGATGCAAAAGAAGATTTACTATTTTAAGATCGGTATATTTTGTTCCTAAAGTAGTCCAAT